GAATGGAACTATCATGGGTTACTATTAGTAAAAACTCAATTAAAGGATCTTTATTTAAAGGCGATCTTTCTATTCATGAAAACATACACTTCTCACAGCGCTGCATAGCTGTTACTTTATTTGGAGGCTAACGTTTCCAACTTCTTCTAATTATCATGTTTTAAAACCTTTGACAAACATTGGAAGAAAACAAAGGAAGGTATCAATTTTGAAGAAGTGGTGAATTTTTAATTAAAGATTCAAAAGAAAGCACTGGATTCTGATTAACTGAAAAAGTTGCTTAGTGCAAAAGCACACTATAAATATTTCAAGCGACGATTCATTACTATTATTTCTAAAACTAAAATCTTCAAAATCCAGTTACGTCAAGAACTAGCAAAGAGGTATATAGCGAAAAACCCTCAACCACCCCCCCGAGCACACTCCGGTCCTAACTTTGGATACCGGAAACAACGTGGCGCTCCGCCAAAAATCCAACCGCTCACCTCAGCAGGAACGAGAGCTACACTGCCCTGCGAGGAACGCTTCCCCAGTCCCCCACTAGAGACCGCCACCAGCCCAGCATACCCCCACCAGCTCGTCCTAGGCGTTCCTGCCGCGTGCATTGGTCGGCGCTGTCTCCCGCCGGCCCAGCCCATTGGCGGGCCCCGCGGGATGCCTCGCCCTCCACCCTCGTGCGGCCTCTGGGGTGGCGCCCCACCCTGGGGAGGACCGCGAGAGGCCAGCCAGCACTCGGCGCTTATCGATACGGGGTCCCAGTCGCGATCCGGTGCTACGCGGAAGAAGACTGGTCTCGCGAGATATCCTCAGATACACATGAGTTGCGGCGAGTGGCTGTTTTGACTTGGGAGTGCGTGCGTGCGGCCGAGAGGCAGAGGACTTGCAGGGGCGTCTGGGAAAGCCGCCAAGACGAGGTCGGACGAGGGACACCCCGTGGAGCGCGGTTACCCGACGGCGTCTCCGTGGCCGGCGCTTTCCTTAACGGGCCACGAACTGGACCCTGTGGCAGCCGCGTGGGGACGCAAGTTGTACCCAGGTATGGTGCAGGTTGATAGATCTAGTGGGCTATGTCCGCGGGAAATTTCTTCCTGGCTCAGTGGAGTGTAAACAAGGCCACGTTGTTATGTTTCACAAGATTTTCTTAAATTATTAATTACACTGCTACACATAATTTTATTTGTATATGAAAACAAATTAAATTTTAATCCTGCTTCAAGGATATTAGTATCCTGGAACTAACTTATGATGAATTTATGTTATCTAGTGGAGAAATATTTTGTAGATAAGTATTAATTTAATTTATTTTTTTATATAATATTGTACTGAGGTGTATAAACAAATATTGTATATATTTTAATTATTTTGGAATAACTAAATATATTAGACTCGAATACCTAAATCTAGGTACTTCATTAAATAGTAAGAAGTTATCTGTGTAAATTATTTTATATTTTTATTTTGTAATATTTTAGTTAATGAACATTTTTCTCATTTAAAAATGTATGCGAAAAATGGTTCCATCCTAACAAATATTTTTAAGTATTTGACATTAATGATTAAAAAGTAAACTCATGTAAAATATGCGTATAGATATAGTTCACATAAAAAAGGATGAAATTTCTCGGAAGTTACTTACTGCTTCAACTTAAATATAAAATGTATTAATTATTTTATAGTTAAATATATTCACTTAATTATAATTAAAAAATACTCAATGAAATAGCAAATTTAACTTTTATCAAATAATTTTGCTACATTGTAAGACATGTAGATACCCAAAAATTTGATAAAAAATAATATAAGATAATCACTGTCGGATATATGTATTTGAGAAAAAAATAAATGTGTTTCTCTATAAAAAAATTAATTACTTCTCAAATATATTTAGATAGTTGTATGAACATTTCATATTCATAAGCGTTATAACTTTGCGCCCAGATATGCTGCAAAATGATATATGTAAGAATGTTACATTTGTTTGAGTGTACATATTTTAAATACCTATTAATTTCGTGAACTTAAAATATAAATACGGTTCTTCTCTAAAGGCTTTTAAGACGGAAAGACAAAAATATTTAAAAATAATTAAATAAACCTTTGTCAATACGTACTAACCAACTTTAACAAAATAATGTTACTAAAAATAATGAAATGCATTATTATTTTGATCTGTAAGTCTAAAATGCTTTTACACTGAAACATTATAAAATAATGTTGAAGGTGTACAATTTCTTTAAGTTACAGGATGTTCTAGCAATAAATATCAAGGTTTTAATAGCACATTTGACTCATCAAAAGCAAGGACTTTTGTTTAATTTTTTTTTCGAAAACCACTTTTTAAATTAGTGTAATGTTTTGCATACAAAATAATGGATAAAACTATAATTTTCCGAAACAAAAAAATATATTATATTTGACAAAAATTGTTATATTGTTATACAGTGGTTCGTATAAAAATATGCACCACTTAGTAGCGATGCTAATTCTTTAGTTGTTTGCTTTTTGTGTGAGATTTTTGGTTAGTTTCATAAAAACAAACCTTGATCATCTTTTCAGTGCAACTTATAATTTATTGATAAATTTTATAAGTCGTGACACATGCCCAATTAATGAGAAGAAAAACTAAAGCTACTAGGAATAAATAATTTTCGACAATATGCAAAGAGAAAATCCATTTCGTATAATTTACATAATAGTTTTGACTCTCATATAAAGAATAAGTGTTATTATTTGAAGGTACATCTTTCGTCTGTTTATAATTTTATTTTAAACTTTATTTGTAGAACATGCATTGGAAAATAAATTGAAGAATATTAAACAACTTTTACATGAAAAATTAATTAAATTAAATTAATTTACTTTGATAATTATTGCAATTACAAGCAGATACTTATAGATCAGGTTTTAAATACAATTCAGATATTTAGATTTTCATATTTCTCCTGAAAATTTGAAAGTAAAAAAGATGATATAATAAGTACCTTTTAGGTAGCTATTAATTTATTTGAAAAATAACTCTAAGGATTTCGTATATGTATTGTTCAATTATTATAAATACTGAAAATTCTGATAGCTTTGATTACAACAGATATTTGAAAAGGCCATTGCTCTATTTTCTTGTCACAATATTTCATTGCTATACACTGTAAGAAAAATTGTATTTATTTTCACTCAATTTCAATAATGTGTCAAATTTTGTCCGCCGGATTGAGTGAAATTTTCCTCTATTAGTAGGTACGAGTAGCAACAACTATCAGTTTTTAGTTTAAATATTATCAAAAACATGTAAAATTATCAAAATGCCCAATATTGACTGAAAATATACTCAATAATTTCAGTCAATAGATTCACTCAGCTTTCACTCAGACCGATTTATTTACAGTGTAATATCAAAATATACCTATACAACAAGTTTTATAAAATGATATTGTTATAAATTAATATAATTACAAAAATATGGATATATTAGTACCTAATATAACTCCATATATGTTGCACGGTAAAAATCTAACTTATTTTACTCCGTTTTCCGATTTTACTGCGTATTCCTTTATACTTAGGCACTCAAGGGAAACACATTATCACGAAATTTAATATAAATCCAATATACACAGAGATGCAGTTACAAAGTGTGTAAAAATAATCGTTAACTTACATTGAGATTGTTTTTACTAACACAGTTGCGAAATTATTATGAAGAAAGTTCAGATTTTCTCAAATTGTCAAACAATATTTCACGAAAGTTTGACACAATGTATCATGTATATCAAAGTTGTGTGAATTTTCTTAACAATTTTTTTCAAAATATTTTCACACTATCTATATAACTGGTTTTAGGAACCTCGTATTATAACCACAAGTACTTTATTGTCACGTATTATAAAAATATAATAGAGGTTATAGTTTTTTAAAATTACAATATTTTTCTTAGAGTACATCATTTAAATTAATACCTAAATTTTGTAAAGAAAGCAATAGGTAATCTGATTTATATTAATTCTAGTATGCATCATGTTTCAGTTTAAAAATAGCAATTGTGATAATTATCGGGGATAATTAAAAGTATTAAAAATTTATTTTCAAGAAATAGCTTACAACTTATTCAAAAGTCAGGAAGCGCTTAAACAATAACGAATTGTACCTTTTTTATTAGTCTTTTAACTGATTTCAATATTTTTTATTTAAATTTTATACCAACAAGCAGGCACCAAAAAACTTCTTGTTTATTTGTCAGGTTATTTAATTATTGATTGAGCTATTCAGTAAATTATCTACATTTATTTAATGAGATATTTGATATAAAAAAATGAATTGAACAATAGAAAACAAATATATAAATTACAACAAAATATTTGTATAATGTGTTATTGTACATAAAGATTCATTAGATATTTGGAGAAAACTAATTTCAAATAGAGACACAATTATTTACATATTAGGATTTATCATGTATGTAGGATTTAGTTATAATTTAATACATAATACAAGTAGTGATCTCTATGTTTTGTTGCTTTGTGATTGAAACTAAATCAAATCAAATCAAATGAAAATATAATCATTTTCTGTACAAATTCACTGTGACTCTTTTCAAATGGAAATACAATCGTGAAAAATACATTTATGGACTGATTTAACGAACTTTTTTGGTTAGAGCAATGAATATTTCTTCAAAAAATTTAGTACAAACCACATGCAGAATCCAGTGCCGTAGTCAGATTTTAAATAAAAAAATTGACATCGAACAAAAAAATAAATAAACAAAAACTAGTCTGATAACTAACTGAAAATGCATTCATATGTTATATGATAATAATAATAGTATTTTAGGCTCTATCCTTCAAAAAAGAAAGAAGTAAATCCGTCAACAAATACATTTTTTCAAAAGGTATTCCATTTGAAATGGGTCAGTCTGTATATCAAAAAATATTTTGCAATCTTCAACTAACAAGGTATTTATATCTTTAGGTACGGGTACGTCGAGAGTTGCTGGACCTGGTCTCATGTTTGGGTTGCACCACCATCAGGATGCAACCGGACTGCACCATCACCACCAGCCGCGGGGTCCCAGCCTCAAAGAGGAACCCCTAACGACGGCGAGGTCTTGGATGCAAGGAACCGTATCAGATCAAACGTAAGTTCCCCATTTTTTTCTATTAACGTCCCTAGCTGAACGTAATCCTCCTCAAATTATTGGAAATCTTTAGTAACTCCTTTGATATCCCTCTAAGTACCCGTACGTCCCAGTAATTCATCTTACATAGTAATTCTACTATTTAAATTGCTGATGTTTCCATTGGCTTATATTAGAACCTGAATCTGAATCATATATCGCATGTAACATTTTCCTGAAGGCATTTTTCAACCATTTTGGGAGAATTTCCTTATAGAATTCTATAAACGGCAATTTTCCTATTTAATTTTTTGAAAACAAATCATATACGAAACTCTAATAAACTAATAAACGCACAGCTCATAATAAAACTAGTCACAACATGGGCGACTAATCCAATATACTCCTAGATAATACAATTTAGGATTATTATTCCTAGGCATCAGCATCCCATGTGCAGAAGGGTTATATTGACATTACTAACAGCCTTCATTGTCCCGCAATGGTCAAAATAATTACTAGGGCATCTACTGGAACATGTTTAGTAGCTGTAGATTCCTGGATACTGCGTTGTAATAGAGATATCTTATTCTGATTATTAAGTTTGCTATTTTCTCTGGCCTATTTACTAATGTCATAACTGAACATTATATCGTAAATAGTTTTATATATTTTATTTTATGTTACTTCTTGTGAAAGTAAAAGAAAAGTTAAAAGTATTAAGGTGTTGGGGGAAACATTTTCGAGATAATTACTCTTCCAGTTACAAGGAAAGGTTTTATTGGAAATATCTAAAATTAATTACAAATTGTCATAGTTCTTAGTAGTTGGATATAAAAGAGACGGTTAATATTTACATATTTGTTCCAAAGTCAACAGAACATTATAAAAGTTTGGGCCCATTCTATAACAGTTTCGAAAAATTATGCGATGTTGCCGGATTTATTAAAAATATTAAAATATTGATTGAGGTTGTTTTTGAAATTTTTTCTTACTCATACTATATCACTGAAAAGCCAAAAAAATGCTCTATTTGTTCAACTTAAAATTCAGTATGGCGCCCATAAGGAAAAAGAAAGTTGATAATAATTTCACGCAACCGAAACATCTCAATGAAAATCTAAATATAAACTGAAGTTCCTCGAAAAAAATTGCTTTGAATAAGTGTTCTGAGATTTTAAAAATTCCTCTAAATAACAGTCACATACAGGGTGTTCCACCTAAGAGGGCTTCTTCTGTAACTCTGTAACTGTCAAATTTATAAAAAAAATGGTTTTAATAAAAGTTGTCTGGAATCATGTGGGCTATGTAAAGAAAATGTATTTAGCTTTACAGGGTGTTCCAAATAACTTTGTTATTTTAAATGGAACACCCTGTATATTATTGCGTTCTTGAATTCATTGGTTAATATTAGGAAGAGTTAAATGTACATAGTGTTTAAAACTTACCGTTTTCGAGGTAATAAGTAGTTTTTGAAAAAAAAACACGATTTCCGGTCTCTAAATTAGGCTAGACAGTGTCTAAACCGTAAGAGTTAGAAACCTGCAGTTTTCACATTTCTTTTTGGCATAAATTACTCTATATTATCATCTGTGAGCAAAACGTATACGTTATTCAGACTCGGAAATACTAAGATCTACATTTAATAATCTTACGAGTTGAAAATTTTTTTATTTTCAAATGGAATGACCCATATTAATTGTAATGAGTGAATGCAAAATTGAATGCTCTTTCGACTGATATAAAGTTGTCCATACTTATCTCTAACAGTTTTCCAGAAAAATCAGGTTATTTTCTATAGTCCGAAAAAATAGCTATGTAATAGCGTCAAGAAGGCCTTGCATTGTATTAGTACAACGTCGATAAATAGGATTTTACAAAAGCACAACACAGCACATCCTTATCGCATCCAATTACACCAAGAGTTACTAAAAGTAGACTTTCAGCGGAGACAGTTTTGTCAGTGGGCACTTGAGATGTTAAATCAAGATGATGATTTTTTTAAATGGGTCATTTTCTCCGATGAGGCTACTTTTCATAAAAATGGTTTCGTTAATAGTCATAATTGCCATTATTATGACACAGTAAATCCTCACCAATTCCGGACAACTTATAACCAATCACCATGGTCTTTGAACGTGTGGGGATCAATTTTGGGAACCTATGTCATTGGACCATTCTTTTTTGACCAGCATCTAACAGGAGCAGTTTATTTAAACTTTTTAACAAATACTCTAGAAGATTTGGTAGGCGACATTACTTTAGCTACACTTCGAAGAATGTGGATGCAACATCCACCTCACAATACCGCTGCGGTTAGTCAGTTTTTACACGAAATTTTTCCCAACAGATAGATTGGGCGTGGGGGGCCAGTGTGTTGGCCTTCAAGGTGTCCAGATTTGACAAGTTGCGACTTCTTTTTATGGGGATTTATAAAAAGCAAAGTTTACGTTACACCACCAACTACCGCAGAAGATATGTGACAGCGCAATACAGTAGCATTTCAAGAAATTACGCCGGACATGCTGACCAATGTTGAACAGTCTTTTAAAAACCGAATCCGTTTGTGTATTTATCAAAATAGAAGACACTTCGAGCAATTGATGTAAATCAGCGGTCTAAATATTCTTCTCCTTGTTGTGTTTCGAGTTTCAGTTTGTTTCGTTTTGCATTTTGTTTCAGTTGTTATTAGTGATTTTGCATCCAGAGGATCCAAATGTTTTTCTTCTACATCTGGATAATGTTTTGGTATTAATCTGTTTTCTAGATGTTCACGAAAATACTTAAAATCTAATTTTGTCAATTTTGTTTCTTATAACCATCGAAGACTACCGCGACACCATTAAATCCTCAGTGGGCCGCTATTATGGTATTTACCAATCAGATATCCTCGGCGGTCCCGTCACTTTTTCGCCCATTTATTTCATCCAGTCAATTGACCGCCGCACATAACGAGAACGGACTAACGGCCGCCAATATGGGGCGATTTCGGGGCGATTATATTGAAATACTGTTGCCCACAATGGAATATCTGCCGTGATTTATGCCAGAAACAACCCCATATCACGCGAAATGAGCTGTTTGTTTCGTGGGGGGCGGCCGTTTGCTAATAAACACTTTTTTCCTACCACGGTCAGCTTGATTGCGAAAATGTGGTGGAGTTAGCGTTACCAGTCGACGATTTGTTCGCATATGTCAGTTTTTCAATTTAAAACTTTACATTTAAGGGGCAGAAAAACGTATTCCAATGGTACAAACTGGAGATGTGATAATTAGAAAGAGGAATTAAAGAAACTCAAAATAAAAACACTTAAAAAAGTATTTTTCTAGATACATTTTGCTGTAATAAACCTATATACTAGGTACGTGTCCCAATTAGACATTCATCTAAATATTCTAGAAAATGTTCAACGAAGGTTTTTGAAACAATTGGCAGTTCTATGTGGAAGAAAACTATGTCCAGCTAACTCAGCGTTGAAGGGTTGATCTTTTCCAGTAAGAATGGACCTTAATTGTTATGTCACTAGCTAGGCGCCAGGCGTTTTAATAATAATAGATAATCAAGTCCTCTAGAGAAATTTGGCAAGTATAATAAAAAAGTGATCTGGTTACACTAACAATACATGAAAATAATCAGTGACCAGATCACAATAAGCATACAAAAGGGAAAGATAGAATGATAAAAATACAATGATCAAAACTATCAATATAACTAACTAACTATACTAGGTAATGATTAAAAGTTAAATCAGGAAAAGGGGGGAAAGTATCACCCTGTATACAAACTATTGAAGAAAGTTTGCAAAATAAAATAAGAATAAAATTTGGTAGACAAAATATCATTTTGTAGGTGACTAAATGAATCTTCAGCTCAATAAACAATTCTACTATTAAAATTACAATTAAAATTCATGAAAAAAAAAAATTGTAAAAGCACGAGCTGATTACGCGAAGGAAAAGTTTTGACAGCATGATGTACTTTTACAAAACCATATTGGCAGACAGAAATGAAAGAGCAAATTCTGCTTTTAAAGTTAACAATGCAATTAAACAATTATTTGTTATTATTGTTACAAATAAAAATCACCAAAATTTGCAAAATCCGTTTGTTACTAAAAAATTTGACAGAAATCAGAGTTGAGAGTGTGGCTAGATTTTAAAAAGATGTGCAAAAAAATTAACCGTGACTCGAATTTACAAGATAGCTCTATAGGATATAACGTATTATACTGAAAGTTCTAAAATGGTGAGGTACCCACAAAAATTGTAAAAAAAGGTAACGATAGGCTTTAAAAATGGTACAAAATTGCGTATTTTGGCTGGATACAAAATACTGATAAAAAGATAAATCAAATTGTATTATTACAAACAAGATATGTGAACAACTAAAGAAATTTCCTACCCAGTAAAAAAATTTCACTCAAATTTCACTCAATTTTACTCAATAATGTACCAATTTCTATCCACATCCTATTGAACGAAATTTTCACTCTATTAGTATGAGTACAACTGAGTGAAACTATTGCATAAAAAATGAGTGAGTTTTATTCAATTCCGAGTTACTACTAAGTATCAATTGAGTACCATTTGACTCTATTCTGAGTATATAAAACTAATTTAGAGTTGACTTTTTTCTAATATGATTTAAATTTAACTTTTATTGAGTCATTTTTTACTCAAACTTGGTTTTTAATTAACTAAATCTTGAGTGCAAAAAAAATCACTCATAAATGATTAATTAGAATATACAGTGTTGAAATTATTCACTTCGCGGGGGCCTCCTTCTGTCCTGTCTGAGACCCGCAGCCGCCGGTTAAAGCCTGTTCTCCTGGCGATCACGCTATTCTGGAGCATCTAACGGGGGCCCCTATCAATTGTTGTCGAGATTACAGAAGCAATATGTAAGTGGTGCCATCTTCACGGCGCCATTCAAATTACCTACTCGAAATTAATATATGTATATTTAAACTCACTCAGTAATGAGGACATTTTCTCTGATTTAGGTACAAGTGCACCAAATACGAGTTTACGTGAAGAATTTATTTAAGGAGTACCAATATCTGAGTGAAAGTACTCAGTTTTAATTTAAAGATAATCACAAATGAGTAAAATGATCAAAATGTCCAATATTGAGTGAAAATGTACACTCTGAATCTTTATTGCTTTCACTCACGTCGATTTTTTTACAGTGAACTTTGCATTATCGTCTGCATCTGTCTGAACACAGGTCAGTTCCCAATTCTTAAGCGTGAAAAAAATTTTGCAGTAGCTCCAGCGGAAGCAGTAGTGAGATCCTCAAACTCTGCAACACAATCACAGGACAGACTCTGATTGCACTAACAAAATATATTTAGGATGGAAACGATACTGTTCCATCCTCTAAACACGCGATAGCACTCAGCCACGAGATCAACTAAAAACAAAGCAATCAAAGTAATGGTCTCTAATTCAATAACCAACCCGAAAATTTACATAATTTAACTGGATGACCGATATTATACCCGATATTATAAAATCCACCAGGTCTTCATCGAAAATATCCAACCGCTCTCTCGCGTAGTTAAAAACCGAATCCTCACTCTACCCAGTTGTTGTATTAGGCAAATACTCTAACACAGGGTATCACAGGGGGTAGTCTATGGGTCAGTATATAACAAATATTAAGTAAGTTTGATGAAAAATATACTTACTGTTAGTAATTAAACAATGGAGTAAACAGTTGGTTCGTTACAAACCTTCAATATCGTTGCATTTCTCATAGCTGTTTTACATTGACAATTTATTGATGAATAAATTGACGAAGTTCTTCATGAATTAATTCACGAATTTATTGGTAAACAGTGTGGTTTTACACTGCTACAGACTTTGTCAAGTTTTTTGACGTATGAATCAGTTCTACCAATGAATCAAAAAAGCAAATAACTTTCAAAAATGTTACCTTTCCACTCATCATTGTAGTGATACAACAGCGGTACCGTTCTGACACCTATCATATAAATATTAGTTTTTGTAAGTAACAAATCAGTAAAAACAATGCAAAACTAGCACGACACCACACAATTATTTACATATTCCAATAAGATAACCTCATTGGCTGGAAATCCGTTGGGTTGGTACTTCCGAACTTCACGAAGAAATTGACGAAAATTAGAACATGCTCTAATTCGTCGAGAACTTGATAAATAAATTCATGAAGTTATTTGACAGCAGATTTGGTGCATTACACTTTTCCAATTTCTTGATGAAACGACTTCTTTCTTGACAGCTATCATACCAATTATTTGTTCCGATATTTCTTCTATTAACGCTAAATGTTTTTGAAATTCTGGCTGGAACTCTTCTCTTCGCAACGGAGAGTAACGAGGAGCATAATTATTACCTTTATTTTTCATTTCCATCAGATGTCTGTGTTTCATAAAATATATGTAATAATTTGATGAAATTTTGTTCTGCTGAGCCCTGGTTTTACGTAAAAAGATGGGATATCTTCCTCCAAAATCTTTTGAATAGTTGCGAAAAGGTTTTCTTGATGCGGACTGATTTCAGCTTTTTTCAGTGAATATGGCAAATAAATTTTTATGAGACATAAGAATGTCCCCTATTTTGGTGCAAGAATTACATATACCATAAGGTTTTAAATTAGTTTTTTTGGTTGTTTACTGCCATGATTTAGTTGTAAACAATTAGAAGCTAGAGAAAATGACTGTCAACGTGACATATAGCGAAGACGATTTTGACATCACAAGCCTAAGCCTACTTGATTGCAGTTATGATTTCTTAAGAATCATTGATATATTGCCATAGACATCGGTTTTCCACAAAAACTTACTTTCCTTCTATTTTAGTAATACTAAGTGAATTGTATTGCAAAGATAAATATTTAAATTCAAAAATTAAATGCCTTTTTTATTACTAATGTGAAAGGAATGTGTTTTTTAAGTTTTAATAAGAATATTTGATAAACTGCCATTAGATATCGCTTTTCTACAAAAACTTACTTTCCTTCTATTTTAGTAATACTAAGTGAATTGCATTGCAAAGGTAAATATTTGAATTCAAAAATTAAATGTCTCATTTATTACTAAAGTGAAAGGAACCTGTTGTTTTTAATGTTTTATTAATAATCATTTTGTTTTACTAAAGATTGAAACATTTTTTTTTCAAAGTTTAGGTATCCCCGTACTTATGAAAATGAAAGTCTTAGGGCATGACAATTAATCTGACATTTTTCAAAAAAAAGTTTAAAGTTGTTTTGCGGTAGAGCTCCACATAACCTAAAACAAAACAAGAAAATATTTTTAGTGGTTCAATATTTTTTGCAATTTTGCTTTTTTTTGACAAATAATCTAAAAGTACGTAATTTACCTTAACGACAGATTTTTTGTAATCATCAGAATTTTTCTTTTTCATGATAAACGCATAATTTTCAAAAATTGATGGCAACGCAGTCATCGATATTGTAGGATCTTTCCGCACAAAAAACTAGAAACTGCCTCCATATACGCTTAATTTCGACTTCTTCGTATTTTGGGGAGTTAAATTTGCCACTTCTGCTTTTATGTTTTCGAATTTTAATTTCCAAAACGAGCCATTTTTTAATTTAAAAAACGCGTGAAATGCGATTAAATTATGTGACGTTTAAGAAGAAAAAAATATGTCCACCACAAAACAATGTCTACCTGTCAAGCCAACTTTCTTTTGGCGAAATAAGTTTCAAAATGAAACATGTCAAATTTTTAATAAATTTTGGTTGTAAAATTTTCTTACCGAATCCCCCACGTCCTTGAATTAATGTCCGGAAATTTTTCAAGCACTAGGGAGATTATAAGTGAAAATTCCAAGGCAATGTTAAAACGTCATCATCATCGAATAATTTGGTTTCCAAAAAATAACAAGCTAGATGTTTCATTACCAACTCCTTGATTTCTGTATTTATTAGTGGCGGATCCACTGTAATTTTTACTTAGGAAAAGATATAACTGACGTGACATCTAATTATATTTTTTGCACTCGTCGTTGAACCGCACGCTTCTGAATAATGGATGGTACGAAAACACGTTATGACTGATGACTAAGATAATTAAATGATCCCCCGCCAGATCGAATCCGTAATAACAAATTAATATTTAGTTATTTTCGAGGAGGCGACATGGAAGCGCCATTAGGAAATTAGCTGGTAGTGGCGACACTCCTTCAAATAATATTAATTGTCCGCGTTCTTTGATACCCGCGTAATTGCGGGACCTTATCTCCATGAAATCGGGTGATTATCGAGTGCGGCGGGCATTACAAATGCGCCTCCTAGTGAATCAGTCGAATTAAAATATATGCGACTATCTGGCGGTTTGATCTAATCGCGACTCTCCAACAACTGCTTGTCCTAGACTAGTCAGCGAAAAAGAACATTTTTAGATGCAAAATAAAGGGTACAATCACAGAGCACCTAGAGTGTACGTTTCCTATCCCAAAGCACGGGAACCGATGAAGCCAAATTGCGGGGAAGTGGAGTGTGTGAAGTAATCTGAGCGCGCATACTTTGAGCAGGTTCGGATTAAGGCAATATTTTTTTACTTATGACAAATAGTTATTTTTCAAGGTTGTAATTCAGACAATAATATAATTTGTCTTGCTTATATTAAATAAACCTACAAAATAATTTGAATATATTTATTGTCCATTAAGTAATACTAATTTATTTAATATTTGTCTTTTAGTAGATTTCACTGAATTAAATATTTTAACTTCATGATTTATTATCACATCGATATACTTTTCACATACAGTCCTCACAAGTTCTTATTCATATTTTTTAAATAAGATTACATTCAAAAAGTTTTTTAATACATGATACACACTTATTTTTCTGTAGCTTGAGTGTATTGTTTTTATAGGAGTTATTAAAAAAATATATTATTTTTTCTATTTCTTAAATTGTCATTTTCCTGAAACATAATGATAAAATTAGTTTAACTAATGCAAAATGTAATGGCATATATTTTTAATATACGAATATAAACATTAAAATTGCTAAAGCTATTATTAAGATTTTTAAAATTTGGATAAAAAATAAAATTCTAATATTACTTTAAAATTTTTATTGGCCTTTAATTATTGTAACTTTATTTAGTACATGTCGTTTTGTAACTTTTAGAGAGTTAAATATTTTTGTTTCGTGATTTATTCTTACATCTACATATTTTTGGCAAATAGCTCTAATAAGTTCTAACACATGAAACACAACATTGTAACACAAGAAAATGGGTAAATAATACAATGTAATTTAAAATTAACGTATGTTTATTATTGAAATTATAGGTTGAGGGTTCAATATTTACAATTATATTTAATAGCCATCATGAAAATAAACACCAATTGTGACAAAAAACTAATTGTAAATAGCCGGTTGATAATAAGAGCTTGTATATTTACATCAGTTAATAACGTGGGCACTAAAAAACATGAAGCCAACACTGGAAATAAGTGCATGTGAGATAGAGAATGCTGCGCGACGCCGTCGAAATGTTATAAAATATTTTTATATTATTACTTACCTAAAGAATGAAATTTCATTACTATTGCGATCAGATCTGCTACTACAATCGTCAACGATACACTGTCCCATGATTGCACAAAGGAAAACAATATATTTAATAAAATAGTAACAATGTTGACACAGCGAATGTCTAACAGAGACTGAGAGCGCGAGGCTGGCAGGGCCGAGGATTGGCTGACGGTTGGATTCACCGGCTTGCCACTACAGTTCAGTCTATTTTGTCTATGGGTAGAATGACCACTGATGAGTCAAGGTTAGGTATATACATTCCATTTTTTTTCAAGTATTCATATTTTTCCAAAGTGGAAAGGAAAGAAACTTAAATAAATTTAAAGATTTACTAAATCAAAAAATAATACAGAACACTATTTAAACTAAAGAGTTGAAGGTATACTTAATTAGTCGAGGAAATAAAGCACAAAAAGAGCCGAAATCCAAAATTTTTCGATCAAGTCGTATCAAGATGGGGTTCTTGCATTCGTTTTCTAAAATTATGTGGAAAAAATGTAGCAACTTTGTATTATTATGTATGCAGTGCAAAATGCATCCGGAAAAATGCATTTTTTAAGGTCACTTGGAAAAAATTCATAACTCGGTTAATAATGCCTGAAATGGTTTTCGAGGTCCAAAACAAACGAGGAAAAACATTTTAATATGACTTGATCGAAAAATTTCGGGGGTTCAGTGCTTTATTTTCTCGACTAAATGGAAAGAAAGGGACAAATCCAGACTTCTAATTCTTGATTTATTCCTCGGAACGGACAACATCCTTATTTTAAACGATCGTCGTTTCCACAGACAAATTGCTCCCGGCAAACGGCTTCCGGAAACAAAAACCGTCGATGATATGCAGTTTGCAGCAATTAATCGTGTGCATAGCGGCAATCCTAATTTACTTTGTCAAATGCTCCGCTAAAGGCTTGAAGCCAGCGATAGCGCGTCGGTTGCATGGCAGTTTCGCCGCCGCTCCCGATATACCGACTCACGTACGGGTCTGTCGATAATGTAATCTATAGCCCGTGTTGCTCTATTGCCTTTACCTGGTCCCCGCGCCGTATACAGGGTGACACTCGAGATG